TGGTCTGGCCCGGCGCGCGCTACTTCATAGCACTTGCCATCGGGCAACATTTGCCATCGGGCAACATTTCGAGAAGAAAGCGGCGCGCGCTACTTTGAAGAAATTTAGACGAGTATGGAGTAACATCCGTCAAACGAGAAAGCATTGTTTGTAGAGCAACTTGTGTCTTGTCAAATATAGTAAGTAATTTTACGTAATCATGATCGAAAGCTGTGAAATTTATTGTTCACGATATCCAGCATCCGGAGTAAATCGTTAAAACCCAGCATGCATGGCACCATAAAACGTGCAAATCATTATTCATTATAGCGATCCACAAAATGACACACTCCTGACTCCCAAAATTGCAGACATTTGACGTTGCATGCTGAGCGTGCTAAATCACTTTACAGTCAATCTTCAAAATTTTTCTAAAACCAAAGTTAGAAGTTAGAAACCAAAGTTTCTAAAAATTAAAACCAACTTGAACCGATGTATTTTCGGACGCGCTGATTCCGAATAACGGCCGGCCATGATTGATGATATAAGGTTAAATTACCTGGGGACCCCAAGCTATTATGTTCATAAACATAGCCTGGCGTATTTTAACCCTCTCAAAACGCGCGTTTTCGCCATTTTACAATCCAATAATCAGATTTTACGATCTAGCTTAGCATGCGGCTTTTGTAGCGTATACGTCACTTCTTCATTCTTTCCAATAAATAGTTAGCACGTGTGCGTGGTTTTTTATTGTATCACGTGGTGACCCCCACGGTCGTTTCACTATAGTAGCGTCTTCGACACTACAGGGGGAGCAGCGCACTTCGTGCGCGGCGGGTCATACAACGTATGACAAGTTTTTTATAGGTCGTAATTGATTTTAAACGATTTTGTAGGTTTATAACTAACCGTACCAAGACGCGCACCGAGCACAGGGGGGTCTGAAACCAGGTTTTCGATCAAATGCTGCCATTTGTAGTCAAACGTCGCCAACAGTTGCTCTCGTCCAATGAAATCGCTGCATTTTGCAAGTTAGTATGCATAATTGAATTACAAATATTCATATGCGGAGCTTGGCTTACATAATGCAGCGATTTCATTGGACGAGAGCAACTTTTGGCAACGTTTGACTACACATGATGGCAGCGTTTGATCGAAAACCTGGTTTCAGCTCCCCCTGTGCGAGTTGGACTCGTCAACAGTCCTGTCGACTTAACGGGTGATACTCGTAAAATATTTGTTCCAACTCGGCGCGCGTCCTGGTAGAGTATAAACCTACAACTATCGACGTATCACCCATTCAAAACGATTACGTGAATTCTTATCACGCGCGCACTAACTTCCAATGAGCATCAGCACTTTTTAGTGCGATCTGGAGTTTCACTTAACCATATGCTTTCTTGCCATAGAACAAATCTGGAGTGTGGAAGTTTGTATTAGAGATTCATTGGAATGACTGGTTGAGCGCCGCCCTGTAAAAGTTATAATGCTCCCGTGGCGAGATTCACCTAGCTATGTGCTTTCGCGCCCCAGCATGCGCGCTTGTTTCGCTTGCGCTTGCAGTGGTGCGGGCGCGCGCCACTGCAAGCGAGGGCTCTGGTTAGAGCAAGTGGCGAGATATTGGCAAAATACTGTCTTGCGACCATTACGTAATATGCCCATATAAAGCCAAGGAAGTTTGTTTAATTTGTGTTAGGGTAAGGGTTTTAGAAAGAAAACAACCTTTTGTTAAAGGTACTTAGAGTTTCGAATAGTCATTCACACAAGGAGACTAAAGTGCAAAGAAACAGGCCCTAATATCGTGGCTTATTAACAATTAAATGAAATGACAACGAGGATAACGATTTGAGACACTTTTGCCCCTGCTGGCATGGCTAACAGTTAATATAAATCAAATATAGAATTGCGACGCGTGAAACAAGTCAGCTTTAGATCCTCAATCCGGCACTAAAACATTTTATTTATAATTGGGCACTGAGATCCAAACACAAACACCCGGTATGAAATTAACAGTCCAAACTGATTACAACACAACGAAGCCTTTACATTTATTGAGGACAACGATGTAACAACTAACAACTAACAGAGTCGACATATCTTAATGTTTCCATGGGGTAGCAAGTCCCTATTCATAGTAGTCCAAAAGTTTCACTGCCTCATAGTATATATTTCTCGATTACTCTCAATCAAATTTTCAACGGTTATAAAGTTATATAAATCTTTTAAAACATTTGAATCTTCCAGTTGATGTCCAGCTAATGGCTGTGCTGCTTAAACAACCCCTGAACGCAAGCAAGTATTCAGGAGCAGGTATTCACATCCATTTTGAAAATGTGGCAACACCCGCCACTGTTTGTAAGTATGGTCTGCATGCACAACTCTAGATCCTACCACACTCACTGCCACAGCAAGAGCAATCCATTCAATTCTCTCTGTGAACGAAAATTATACAGCCTACTATAAGAGCCCAGATTTCCACTCAAATACTGGCAAGTGCATAATGCTATAGGACCTTAAAATAAGATTGAACCATACAAACTCGATTTATCTATTTTTCTAAAACTAGCATTATATAACATTTCTAAATTATCCCTACACACTTGTAAATAATTAGAATTGTGTAACTTAAATTATTTCAGAATTACAACTATTGTGTACTCAATAAAGTAATTATCACTTTTGTATCCTTGTATCCTTGTAGGATGAAAAGGATGCAAATGCAAGAACTGGAAAACTCCCAGACTATATCCTCTCTTGTAATGCACCTGCCATGCATGACATCTATAATGATATTGGACTTGAACATGACATTGAAGAACCCAGAAACAACTCTGACCTGACTATATCTGAACCCCACTGCCAACATTTTCTTGACATGGTTATTATTGTATCCTTGCACGCAATCTAATATTTTATTGCAATTTACTGCTCATTTTGTGTCAGGTTCCTCCATATTTCAATCTATATGTAGAACCCCAGGGATTTCCGACCATCTGAAACACTTGGAATATTGTGTCAAGGAAGACTTTATACCAGCCATTATGGGCAAAAGTTTTGTGCCTGATCAAATCAGAAAAATAGCTTCACTTCCTGCAAGAATGGGCGGGCTGAGCATTCCAGACTGCACATCAACAGCAGAGATGGAGTACACTAACTCAGTAAATGCTACAAAACAGCTCACAGAAGCAGTTTTTCAACAGCTTACTACTTTCCAACTAAACGAAGAACTGCAGCATGACATCATAAGTGAAGTAAAGAAGCGTAAGGAAGAGCTTTACAAACACCAACGTGAAACTATTATGAATGAGGTATCCCCATCAACACAAAGGCAATTAGAACTCCTTAGTGAAAAAGAAGCATCCATTTGGTTATCCACACTCCCTCTAAAAGCATGTGGGTACGTCCTTAACAAACAAGAATTCTTTGATGCCCTCTCACTCAGATATAATCTTACACTGTCTACAGCTAACAGAAGTCCCCTATGTGTATGTGGAAATCAAAATCATATCAACCATACTCTAACCTGCAAAATCGGAAGCTACGTTTCACTTAGACACAATTCACTAAGAGATACAATAGCTGAACTCCTAACCACTGTTTGCAAAGACGTTGAAACAGAACTCCAGCTTCTCTCCGTTTCTCACACACTTGAACTATCTAATGGAACAAATAGACAGGATGGTGCAAGACTGGACATCAGTGCGAGATCGTTTTGGTCGCCGCTGGACAGGGCATTCACAGATGTAAGGGTACTTCACCCTCAAGCCCAGTCCAACAGTGACAAGAGCATCTCACAGATGTACCAATCTCACGAGAAAAGCAAAAAACGTGAGTACAATGACAGAGTCCTCAATGTTGAAAAGGCTACCTTCACGCCACTGGTGTTCAGTACTACAGGAGGAATGGCAACTGAGGCTTCACAGTTCCTTAAACATCTCGCTGAAAAGATCAGCCTAAAGAAAGGCCAACGGTATTGTGATGTGATGTCATTTGTCAGACGCAGACTGCGTTTTGATCTACTCAGAACCTGTATAATCTCTATCAGGGGGTACAGAGGTACCAGAACCCTTCCACCCACGGCAATAAGTGATTTGGACCTTAATCTGATCAACACTCTTAAACCCTAAAAGGTCATGGAGTGCTCTAGTTGGATGGGGGTCTAAACTGCTTTTTGTTGTGATGTGATTTAGTGGATTTTATATATATTATTACCGTACAAAGGGTTTTATTTTTACCTCAGTTTTTAAATTTGTACCATTTTTACAGAATTTTTATATAGGGTCATTGCTATATTATGTGTATATTGTTTGAATATTTTCTTATTTATATAATCTATATGTAGAATACAATGTATTGTTCTAAGTCAACTAAAGTACAGATCTCTCCATATCATGGCAGTTCAAACACATAATATTTTCATATTCCCAAATACACGCTGAAAGGTCCTTGGTTCTAAGGCGTGAAACTCTACGGCGTGAAGACTTGTCAAAACAGGACTCTCTTGCTGTAGGAGTTGGGAGATGTGTAGGAATTGGGATCGAATGACAAAATTCTGCAAGTGTGCCTGCCATTAAATGCTGCTTGATCATATCGTAATAAATTAGCCAAACATGCTCCTTTGGCAGAGTGCAATCCTAATAAAGACCCTATCAGATGAGATGCAGATGGTCATATCGCTACTAGCAGATAGAAACCGATTGGGCCCCATTGATATCATAATGTTTTATGTGTGACCTCTAACGTATAAATTATGTGACCGTTACTGTGCATACTGTGCATACTGCATACTGCACAGTAACGGTGTTGCAGTGCAAGTGCAAAGATTTTTGGAATGAGTATGACGCGTTGAGTCAGTGTTACATTTCATTGGCTGTATCAGGACTCTGGTTGGGTATTTCTTGATGCCCAGTTTTTAAAACTAACTTTCCAAGCCCACTCCCTGTGTGTATATTCATTTCATTAAGAATATAGAATTTATTTATTTCATTTATTAATCTCTGGTTGATAACTTCATCATTAACAGGATGGGTGAGTTGTGGCAACACCCATATGTAAATATCTTCAAGTACTATGGAGTTGGCCAGTGGAAGAAGTCCAGTAAAGAGGGCGATGTGGCTTCCTTAATGGACCGTGTTGTGAAAGTAAGTCACAGATTGTATGTAATATCTTGATAATTGCATGATTTGTGTTTGAAACTTCTTGCACTGTTTTGCTGTTTGATATAGTCTTTATAATGTAGCAAACAATAAAGTTTGTTTGATGTTCTAAATATTTTTAAATGGATGGTTAGTCAATTTTTAGCTCTGTCAAGTTCCCAACATAGAAAGATAGAATAAGACCCACCTTTTTCCTGTTTTAGTTACATCTTTTTAAATAACCCAGGAAATGTTTTTCAGTGTCCTATTTACAAGATAAGTGGCACTGTACCTGCTAATAACTACATTGTCATACCAAAGCACAGTTCTCAGTCAGCCGGGTTAACCTGGATCTCATTTATGTGTACTCTTCAAGCCTATCCCGGGACAGTTCTTCACCATTCATCTCGAGGTAATGAAAAGCTTTTAAACTCAAAAGCTCAAAAGATTGAAATCTCAGAATGTTTTTAATTACTAGAATTAAAGTTGTGGTGCTGCAAACTTTGTCAAGTATTTTACAAATTTTAATCTCTCCAGTTATTACAGTCATCTCCTCCATGTAAGATACGTTGTGTTTTCAGGTTGTCTCATCATGTGGTGTTTTGATTCGAATAAGCATCTCCAATATTTACAAGCAGTTCAAAGCTTCAGCAACTTGGCTACAGTTCCCGTTCATTGTGAGTGAGACATCGCAGCAGTGGTCAGTTCTGATGTTCAACTTTCCTCATCTGCTGAGGAAATATGTGAACAGGGAGTATTCTCACATCAAATCGATAAAACTTTGTGCAAACATGTTTGTGAAGAATGTTTTCTCGACTAGCAAAGCATACAATCCTCATGTGATAGACAAAAAGGTTAAGCTCATAGATGAAATCACAAAGCCAGGCGATGAACCATTCCCCCGTGAGATGAGATATCCTGTTCCAAATGGACATACATGGAGAGAGTTTTACGAGTTTATAGTATTTCCTCCCAGTTCAGAAAATCTTTCAGTGTCAGTCCCAAATCCCAGGTCAACTACTCCTGTCAATCCATCTTTTGTGTCCAGCAAGAATGGGGAGCGAGTTTTTAAGGAGCTACCTGTTGTCAAAAACAAAGCAAGTAATGCCAGCATATCAATGAGATCAAAGCCAAAAAAGGCAAGTGAAAAGATTGATGAAGATTTTCAGAATATGTCCCTTATAGAGAATGTGACAATTTCACCGAGCAAACGAAATAAGAAAAATAAAAAGGACAAGATACCCCCAATTTGTGCTTTGAAAAAAGTGTTAGGCTTTGGTCCATGTAAAAATTTCGAGTTTTCAAATAACACAGAGAATATTTACTACGCCTCTGGTTCGATTGTGGTGATGCAATCTATCGAATCAGGATCTCAGAAACTGTTTACAGGCCACTCTGACAGCATCCTGACTTTCACTGTTGACCAAGCTGATGAGTACATGACTTCATCTCAGAAAGATTCCCCACTGATTCGTATTTGGAGAGTATCATCTCAAGAGTGTATTGCTCTTGTAAAATCATCTGAGGAGCCTTGTAGCATACTTCACTTCTCACTGGCAGACAAGGCCTTGTTGGGTGTAACCTGCTCCAGACCAAGATCTAAACTTATCTTATGGGACACCTCATTCCTGAAACTGAAGGGAGATATAAGTATCATTTGTGAAGGATCATGCAGTGACAATCTCATCAAGGGTCAACTGTCACCAGTATCCTCAAGTAAGATGGCAACCTGCTCTTCCAGGAGTTTGCAGATCTGGAGACTACGAGCTGGAAAGTTGAAGTCGTGCTCCATTTCTCAGTTCTTCGGGTTAGAGTACGTGTTACGTGACTTGAGATGGGGCTCTGTTGGAGGTGATACAGAGGGTTTCATTTACCTGGCCACAGCTGCAGGTATTATCATTGAGGTGGATTCTTCTAAAGCCTCTACGGTGAGATGTGTCGACCTGTGTGCTGCTGAGGGCCCTGGTGTCAAGTGTATCAACTCTATTGGAGTACACAGTGCGTTTGGTGTCACAGGTACGGATGACGGTAATTTGAAAGTGTGGGATTCTCAATTTGGAGAGGTTATTCTGAATGTGGAGCATGAGTCTGCTGTTAAAAGCTGTCTCATCTCGGCCAATGGTTTAAAGCTACTGGCTGTTACTGAGACTGATAGTGTTGGAGTGTTGGATGCTACGACAAAGTCATACTCAACTGTTCTCAGAAGTCACTCAAAAAAGTAAGATCGTTATTTTATACAATATTTATACAATTTTATACAATCATCATAACTAATTTGACAATAAATTAATATTGTAATTAAATAATTACAACAATATACCGTATATAAACCTTAAATCATATTCTAGAGAACATAAAGTATCAGTTCATTATTAATGAAATAGTTTCGTCGACAAGTCTCACACATTAATTTCAGAGTTACTGCGGTTGCAGTGGATCCATGTCAGAGACAACTTGCCTCCATCTCTCATGATAGCAGTCTCCGGGTATGGAACCTTGACTCGCTCTCTCAGATTTACGAAGTCTTCTCCGCCGGGGAATTCCCCACCACTGTGGCTTATCATCCTTATAAAGGTTAGTTTTATCTTTGCATATTTTGTTTGTTCTGTAAAATCGTCTTTCGTTGATATCGACCAACTGCAATTTTATCAAGAGTTCTGAATTTGCGGATAGGCCACCCGCCGCCAGCATTTAAATTATCTTAAGGTTATGGCTGTTAACTATTTTCAAAGATTCTTTCCTTAATTGGCGGTAAGTTGGCTTTAGTAGGGAGGTGGTTTTATCGGATCCGGTTTTATCTCTTCAGATTTCCGTTTGAATCGGAATCTCATATTTAATTTAATGCTCATCTGGACAGTCAATCCAGGACTGATGCTCCTCTTTCTGCTACGTCTATTTCCAAACCTGAAGTTTGTTCTCTTGACCTGACTTAACTTCTTCTTGATTATCTTAGAAGTGAAAGCATACAGTACAGGATCTGTCAGGCAGTTCAAGTAGAGAGCCATGTGATAAACCTTCCGGAGCTGGTAAATGCCGAGTATGTCGTAGAGGATGAAGCAGGGAAGCCAGGAAAGGGTGAAAGTGATGCAGATGAGACACGCACGGAGGGATACCATCCTTACTCGGGCACTCCGAACTTTGTATAATTTGTAGAGGATTACTGAGTAGGTCAGCATGTTGATCAGGAGAGGTATAAGTGCGAATAGGAGGGTGGATGCCAGCGAGATCTGCTGCTTTATATCTTTCTTGTCACGAAAGTTGAACATGCACTGGTGGCCTGCTTGGTCGTAGTTGATCACGTTCCCAAACTTGATGTCGGGTGTGTAAGCAAATGTTTCTACTACCAGGAATGTCAAGAAGAGAATCGCTGCAATCCAGCAAGAGGTGATGAGGTACTTCTGGTGCAGGAAGTGTCTCTGCTTCGTGTACCTGGAAACATTGAAAATTTACTGAAAACTGAACTCTCAATGTAATACAAACATATCTCAAGTCCTTTTTTCATCTATCACAAGTATTTTCAAAGCATTGCTTTTCCTTAAATTTTGTATCAATTACAACATTATATTAGAGCTTAGTTGGGCTTACCTTAGTGGTATAAGAACTGCAATAAATCTGTCGTAGGTGATTGGGAGCATTGCAAGAAGGTTAGAGTGTACAAACAGGTAGAATAATGTCGGTTGTAGAATGCACAGACCCTTTGTCGTTTTATAGCCGGATTCTCTCATCCACCCTGAAGCATTATTTAACTCATTTGGAGGGGGTGAGTGTGATTGTGTTATATTAATATGACAAATTGCTGTAAGAAATTCAAGGCAAAAATTATTTTCGAATGCCCAGTCGTATAATTTTAAATGTAGAATTTCAATTCGGATATACTAACTTTATAGAACAACATACCTGGGCCCTCGATGCATGTTCCGAACAAAGCCCACAAGAAGTCGCTAATACTCAAGTTTAGATAAGTCACGTGGTGGGAATTCTTTCGTTTGTTCTCTATCAGAAAGACTATGATCATGATTCCGTTGATGATGACTCCAACTCCACAGAAAGATGAGAGAAATACTCCATATGTCAGGTCTGCAGTCGTATCATCATCCTCCACTGCTTTGAATCCTATTATCCGCGTAATCATGCCCTTAAACAACGACATTTTTAAACAACGACATTTTAAAACAAAACCATCCTACTCTTATATAAGAAAATAGCACAGACGGATAAAAGCTTGAGTCATATTATTTAGAAAAACGATCAGTAAACTCTAATACACGATCAGTAAACTCTAAATACACGATCAGTAAACTCTAATAGGCCTTCTATCTTTTAAAAGTTTGTAATGCTAAGAAAAATAGTGTTAGAAAATGTTTTTTAAAGTTTGTAAAGTTTGCTACAAGTGACCTGAATCAGGCATGTAAGTGGTAGTGTTGATCGATTACTCGTTGGTCGGGCTCAGCCATCATGGTTGTGACGATTTAGTGATCGTCAGAGCTTGAAACGAAATGGCAGATGATCTAATTGCCAGGTGCTTTTTAACTACCTTCAGCGACAGTGGAATGATTATATTAATCAAAATTACGTTTTAGTCAACCTTTCTAGAATACAGCTGCTAATATTCGAGCAAATGGCTTGCAAGCTGTCTGGTACAGACTTAATTGCAAATTGGCCTGAAGTAGGTAGGTTGCCACTTGCCAAGATAAATAAAAAATCAATTTTCTTGCGGACGTGCAAATTTAATCCCTTATCAAGTCACCGGTGTTCAGGGGTTGGCAACTCCCAACATTTATCATCAGTCAAGAAACAACTTCTAGTTCTAAACAGTTACAACCGCTGTACACTTTATAGCAGTAATAACTATAACTATCTAAGTACTAGTACTAAGTAGTGGTGGTGCCCACAACAGGTGAAAATTAAGACAAAATTACGTATTTTCCTTGAGAAAATTACCAAATTGGAATTCATTTATCTACCCCAATACTAAACAAAAAACGGTTTCCATGAAGTACAAATTAGATGCCAACTATTGAAATTCAGGGAGCCGCCCATAAAATACATTCCTGGTGCATCCAGTAAAAACAGGTGTTAATAATGAACTCAATTCTTTAGCTCTGCACAAAGGCCAAGAAAAGTTTGGCGCTTCGCTGGGTCTTAAATTATCTAATTTAGGAAGAGGGTTACCAGGTGGTACGAAACTATTTATGACACTGTTGTTAAACTGTAGAGACAAGTTTAGGATATTTTAGATTAGCAGCAGTAATAAAACTCCCAAACTTATAACTTTCGGAGAATAAAAACAGTCTTAAAAACAAAGACGAAACTAGTTCGACAAATCTAGCCCTGCATTTTAAACTTTCAAACAAATCCGTGAAAACTATCAGGTGAGAGATCAGTGATCACCAAAACGAACAACTGCCCAACTGAACTTAAATGTGCGTGATTTCTCTACCCTGGCCTATAATAAGGCCTACCCCGGCCCCGGCCCGGAGACAAATTAAGGTTACTCATGGTTTAAATTAACAAGTTCAAAATTGTTTCGCCGTCATATTGAAACCCAATAGTACAGTAGCCCTGTCCTGAACTAGTTAATTCGGAGAAGCGTTGTGAACAAAGTAGCAAAGTCCACCAAATGCCAAACTAATCCAATTCCCATGCAATATTCCTTCTATCTTTCTATGGTCGTTGTCTATTATTTACCGATGTGGTTATGACTCCTGAGCATCTGGCTATTTTAGGCTAATCTTGATTTATATGTTGGTTACGGAGTCGTGATATAACAAATACATAAACCTACGATTGGTATATTTTGCCATTCGTTCGCGTTATGGTGATTAATAATTCTATCACAACATGAAACATCACAAAATATGAAAATAAGAGATCCAACAATCACTTCCAGTCTGACAGAGTAAGATTGTGTATAAACCACAAGGTATTATAACTTGGTCTTTATAGTAAACTGATTAAGTCGCGATATAGTGTTATTTGATGCTCAATATACATATTGATAATATAAAGGGAACCTTTCCATTGTCAAATATCGGTTGTACGTGACTCAAAAAAGAGGTCTACCTATCCTCTGCCAGCTTTGTAAGGATAAACAATTAATCAACAAAACGACTATTGTTCTTTAGAGATAGAAGCAGTGTAGAGTATGGTAACGAGTTGAAGTGGTCACTATCTAACATTGTCTTGCTAGTAACAACAATAACTATTTCGCTACCCCGTACGAACGAAATTTCGTTGGTTAATTACACTTTTCTCAGAAATTACACTTTTCTCAGAAATTACACTTTTCAATACGTTGTTGCTCGCTTATCATTTACTTATCACTACGTTGATAAGACCTGCTTGTTTTTACCGGTGGCGTGATTTTATGATGCTACCCCGTACGAAAAAATTTCGCGGGTTAAAATTATAAGTTGGCTATAAACATGGCCGGAAGGGAAGGCGACATCGAACGTGAAGCAAAGACAAAAGGGCATGATGAAGCCGATTTCTTATTTGTAAATATGATATTTAACGGGTTTAATTACAATCGTATTTTATTTCCTCTCTTACACTAATTGTTTACTGCTTGCTCAGTTAACAGTTTCTTCTCCTTCAGGAAGTATAGTAGCAGGTTACTCTAAAGGAACAGTACGAGTGATAGAGGGAGGCAACGTAACGGAGGAGCTGTTAGACCTGACCTCCTGTATCACCTCCACCACCTTCCTGCCTAACGGAGAGTACTTGTACGTGAGTGATGCTCTGGGTACCCTCATCATGTACCAAGCAACCAAGACACAGCTGGTACAGCTGAAGAGTATCAAGCACATTGTTGCGAAGGGAGGACACAGGTGCCCATCTGCTGTTCAAGCTAGTCGGGACAGTAGGATGATAGGATTTGCAGGACCCACGGAGCATTGCGTGACGGTGTTGGAGGCCTCTACTCTGACTTGTTTGATAAAACTTGATGTCAGTTCTGCTGTCTCCTCGTGTCTGGACAGTGTGCAGTCTGTGGTGTTCGGTACGGTCCTTTCACGTGATCTGTTCGTCAGCACCATGTCCGGCAAGGTCCTCAGAGTGGACACTAAAAGTGGGGTCATAGTGTCTGATCACCAGCCCTATCCCTCGTCCACTCCCCACCTGCTTGTCTCTGAGAACTACATTGTTACTGCTAACCAGAGCAAGTTTAATGTTTGTGACTACTCTAGCATGGCTGGTTTACAGAAATATGTGGCGTATCATGCCATCAATCACATGACCTTCACACCAAGTTTAACTGAGCTTGTTATTTGCGGTGACGGCATCTCAATCTGGGGCTTCAGTGGACGGAAACCAGGACTCAACTTCAACAAGGACGACTACACGACCATTGCAAAACGAGTATCGTTTGATCAAGAGAGCGGTGTTGAAGAGAGTGATGTGGTGGAGAGTGGGATAATGTCCACTCTTATTGAGGAGGATAAGCCTCAGTCTCCAGTGCTAATGGCTCCTACTCCTGACTTATTGGAACCAGTACAGAGTGATATCAGGTAGGATGATCAGTGTCAAGATTAAGACAAATTGCCGTTCAATTTTTGATCGTTTTTTAAATCGAACTTAGAAGTAACGTAAATATCAAAACAAAGAAAAATGTTTTGAAACTTGTGAAAGGTCGATGTGTTCTGTGAAAAATAACTTTGAATTAGCAAGAGTATGTGAGGCTTCATGATAAGGAAAAACTGTATGGCAAATGACGGCAAACTTTTAGATGTATTAGAATAAAATCAGAAAGACGTTTTTACATAACATAATATTATTTACTTCGGCCATATTTTGAATCGTCACAAGTGTACGTTAAAAATGAGCGAATGTCACCGAATGAAGACGCCTTGTACAGTGTGATTTCTGGAATTCAGCAGCTATACTTAACATTAATAAATTCACGGTTCTGCCAGGTTGGAGGATACATTAGACAACTCAGGAGAGAAAACCTTGGACATGTCCTCGATACTTCTGGACCCTTCTCCTTCTCCAGCTCCCCACCCTCTTGCTCAGACAGTCACTGTTACTGACCACCATGATAAAGGTGAATAGTTATCAATATAATAGCTAGTTAGCGCTAAATGGCGATAGCTATCGATAGGAACGCTATTTAGCGCTAGTTAGCGCAAACCATCGCGTTTAGACTATCGTTAAAGAACCGGTTTGTTTCTAATGTTGTTACTAATTTAATCATTATTCTACCGGTTCTAGTAATGTTGCAGCTCTAATTGTAAGCTGTTGACAATGTTAGACTGCAATAACTGCATAATATCTTTATATCATCACAGCATGGCACTATGTACTATTATGGTTATATAATATTATGATAAGTATATTAACTAGAATTTTGGCAAAAACTCCGAGACTAATTCTACCGTCACAGGGTCGGACTCAGAGTTGGAGAATGTATCAGCTCTCTCTGATGACAACTCGGAGGAGCTCCCCAAAACTCTGGCTCCAATAAACGGCCAGCACCCGTTTGAAATATCCCCGGACTCAGCGTCCCCCAGATCCCCTGAAGCATCTCCCGAACCACCTCTAGCTCTCAGACACATCACGCTTGATAGCCCGTTAGTATGGCGTTCTGGGATTTAGTGAGCATTAATTGCATAGGTATTGCAGAATAAGATGGTCAAAATCAGATGAAATTTATTAACCGTGGAAAGTTTAGTGAGAGCCGACAGGGTAGTTGAATAATACTAGTCATATGGTTCAGAAGCAATCTGCATCAAGTTATAAGGTTTCAAGGTTATGTTAGTTAATCAACCGAGCTGGAATATCACATAATATAACTCAATTTCCTTAAAACCATTAAAACCACATTTTAATTTGACGTTTCTAAATCAAACCTGTTCCTCAGAAAGTCGACGTTGTCTGAGAAGCGGTACATGGCGGGTACCGACTCTTGCGGACTGGAACTGGTAACCATGTTGGGAAATGACAGGGAGGGTAGGGCTAATGTTGTGTGGAGAGGCACTGTGCTGTTTTACACTCTGGGAAATGTTATCATCGCCGAGGACCTTAAGTAAGGATTGCGACCATATTTTCGACGGTTTTTTTTTCTGTGAGAACAAAAAATGCCTCTTCTTTTATTACGGTTATCAAGGTTAACTATTCACAATACAATGTAGCTTAAACATCTTATTAGAATACCATATTGTATTGATATCACTACGGATAACTCCAGAAGACAAAAAGAGGTTGACATGTTATTTACCCAGGACGTCAAAACAAGAACATTTGATCGAGCACACAGAAACAATAACCTCTCTAGCGAGTACATGTGATCGTATAGCGTCCTGTTCAGGTGCTCACAAGCTACAACCATCTCAGATATGTATCTGGAACGCTGATACATTCCAGTTACTTCACACCTGCACTTACCACGAGCATCAGGTTTGTCATAAATTGAACTAAAGATGTGTTATTCTAGAATTATCCTCATAAAATTTTGTACAATCAGATGCAGATGGGCAAGATGACTGGGGCTAGTTGAGTTGGCGAAGAGCATGATTGAAGCAGTGCATTCAATATTGTAACTTTCAACATTAGATTTCGATATATTGTGGGTATAAACATATATAAAGTAAATAAGCTAAGATGACTGCAGTTATACATTATCTAACTATAACAATAATACATCTAATCGTGAATAAAGTGTCTCGATATCAAACTATTGTCAAGGGATTACGATCCAAGATTCACCTTCTTTTGTTCTTTATCAATTATTATCGATAGTATTACAAGTTGCTGCATTATCAACTTGCCATCCTGATAATGCGTTTTCTTTTTGATCATGATGTTACGTCATGAAGAACGTTTGACCCTAACCATAGTTATTAGTTATGGGCATGTCGATATTATCTCATTGTACACAGCAGTACCAAGTACACAAATCTGATAGGACGAATAAAGGTCGATGGTGCGATAAAGTGCGGTAATAGTGCGACTTCGCACCCACTGTCAACTGTTGGAATGTATTTTGTTCTTCTTTAACAGATCATGACTTTTATTTTAACTTTTCTTGATAAGTATGTGGCTAATAATTATACCTTCATTCGCTCAGACCCCGCTCAAACCATGAGCTACAAGCATTTATGGGACGAAAAATAAAGTGAATAATGTAAGATTATCTTAATGAAGAGTATTTACTATCTAATATATAACGGAGAATAAAGATCAATACTTAAACCTTCAACAACTTCACCAAGTGTACTAGTACATCAGTATTTTTGAGTAAGGATATTGTTTTAATAAAATACTGACAACTTTAGAGGCATCCAGTAGTAGTATATTATTATTATAATATTTTCCGGGAATTAGTCGTGAACACTGGTAACCGATAATTTCCCGCAAGGGTTGCCAGAGTATTATGAGGACAGACTGCGAGTCACCTCAGACTGGCTGCCGGGAAGTTTCAAAACAAATAACAGTCGCGCACTATATGTTACTCACTTTATTGTATCAGCGCTGAGCGCACGTATCACATTACACATTGTTTCATCCAGAACCGGAAAAAATTATAACAAATAATACCTTGGCTTAGTTATCGTGCAGGGCTATCGTGCGTAGCACTCAACAGCCAAGGTATTATTATGTTATTATATATATTGTATTTTAAGATATTCAATATACTTTTTATTATGAGATATAATTCAATGGAAATACGTTCCCAGACGCTAATCGTATTTCATACAATTTCGATAGATTAAATCTTTACGGTGGCATTTAACGTTAGTACATTATGTACAATGTACATTATGATTGTTCAGATAAGTAGCTGCGACCATCTATAATGACGATCTCGCAGCGTACCACCCAGTTTTTGAGTCTCAGTCTGTTTTTAACATGTACAATTTCTTGACTGTTTGATAATTAGTCTAATATTTTAAAGGAACTGTTTTTCAAATCCCCGATTCTTAAAAGTTTAACCAATTAAACTTTGGAGTATTTGTGAGGATGACACAAGACGTCTAGAGTTAGAGAGGAATTTGCTACAAGTATAATAATTGCACCCCGCTAAGAAAAGCTTTAACTTAACCGTATCATGTAGTTGTCGGTAGTTAGTGATTAAATGTTTTTTAAACTGTCTCATAGCAAGATCCAGCGGTGCTTGTATTTTAATCAGTGAAATTGCGCAAATAAATCGGTGTAGTTTTCATGGTAATCAGTGAAGTTGCGCACATAAATCTGTAAAACTACCTGCTGCAAAATGGGTGGTAACTTCCGCTGTTCTCGGCGTTCATACTGACGTCAGAGGTCACGTGTCAGCTCAGAATTCTGACTTCCACTGTCTGACTTACTGACTATATTAAATCGTCTTAAAATAGAAAATTAAATAAAGTTTTAATAGTTTTAAGAGCACATCCATTAAATATTCTTCACTCTGTAATCTGTACTTTTGTTTACTGTCCAGTGTTCCTGCTATTTTAGAAAATATACCTTTATTCGCACGCGAGCTATCTAATTATCTATTTTTAAAATTTCTTTAAAGCTTTAATATCCTAAAATTATTTCGAACGATAACTTGTATATAACCGTTGTAACGTAGGACCATTATCAGCTAGTGGACCGTAATCTGTAGATAATGTCTTGTTTGACGAATGACGTGCACCACCTGATAGTTCAGCCTTCAGTTCGCTTCTGTTTGCCATTTCTACTTTGCGGTATTCAGGACGAGTAGGGTCACTGTTTTTCACATTTTCTGGATTAATTTCAAAAAGATTCACTCGCAATATTTGTTTAGAGAATTATACAGTGCAAAATGAACGACTACAAGTAAGAGTGATATACAAATGAAGCGCAAAGACTGGAAAACTTTAAGTTTTATCTGCGTTTCTATGATACCGGCCAATTAATAAATCATAGTAGACAAACCGTCCCTTATGGACACTAACTGTTATTTATTTCACCCTAATATTTAAAGCAGCATACGTATTTAAACCTTTCATATAGATTACACGACTCTAAGTAGCGTTCAACAGAGCCCCTCCGACTGTAGGGACGCAGTGCTGTTGTGATGACGTCACAACACTCCTTGGCCTTATAAGGTAGCCACGTGGTGTTGTGATGACGTCACAGCACTCCTTATAAGGTAGCCACGTGGTGTTGTGATGACGTCACAACACTACTTATAAGGTAGCCACGTGGTGTTATGATCGCCTCCGACTGTAGCGACGCAGTAGAGTTCACTAAGCGAATAGCTACCACTGCTCCATGTCAATTGTCAGCTGTACGCGGGACTCAGACTGAATCTGATTGGAAATCAGTGAGCAAAAGGTCAACCATGTCTGCACTTCAGTTAAATTTAGAATTTTGGAAAGATTACGAATTACGTCTTAAAGCTCAAGTTCTGTCTAACCATTATTAGGTAATTCTTCATTACTTTTGCGTTAAATTTATGTTTTATTTTTAATAATATCAAGATGTTCGGACCGTTGACACGTAGTATTAGCAGAACTTTTTTCCTACGTTCATTGGTTACTAATGCTGCTAATCTAGAAGGCTTATCTCATCTTTATTAGGTACTGATGATAAACGAAAATATTCTACCAATGTTATAAAGATCTTTTTGGAATTTCTGAAACTCATTCGTTGTTTGATTGCGGGAAATACCGATCTTAATCTAGAAGGCACGTCATTATTACAGCAGAACTGATAACCTTACTTTGCAACTGAATTGAATGTTTACCAACACGAGACTCACGTTTTATTCAGCCGGTTTCTTAAACCTTCCCCGTTTTATTTTTAACTATTCTCCAAGTTGGCAGGCGTGTCGCATGAATGCTCAACTGCATAGTTAATAAGTAAATGCTTAGTTACTGCACATCACTGCCCATGTGCTAATTCATGGTCCCTAAGTTTCTTGACGTTTATTTGTTTAACGCCCTCCTGCAGTTTTGAATACCAGAACCAGCGCCGAATCAGTGACAATTTCATATTAAAGAATCTTTAGAATCACGTCAATTCGGAATTAAGGAGAAGCCTTTCGGAGAAGTTGTCACGCAAATAAGTAAACAAGTATGAAGCTCCCATTACCAACGTGACACGTTATAATATGTTAATAGGAAACAATGTAACAGAGTCGATATATTTGAATGTTGCCATGGGGTGGCAAGTCCCCATACATCGTGGTCCGGTAGTTTCATTGCGTCTTAATATAATATTAGTACTGTCAGTTTAATGATTCTATTGGACGTGGTCGTTTTGTTTTGTCATTTAATTCTCAGTGAAACCTCTTCTATTGTTGGATTAATGTCCAGCTGGGTCGGATAAATGTGACGAATTCTGAAATCATACAAATATGTGGGGAATATTCCTGCTACTACCCCTAAATCTACTGTAGACTCAGTTTATCAGCAAACATTGGTGAAACCCCCAAACCTCCTATCACTTCAATCAACTCCATTGCATTTGTGTAAGGAATTGTTTATTTTGGAGAGTTTATTCCGTAATATTTTCATAATTTCTTTTTGTTCTTCATTTTCCCCCCATTTTCCCTCCATTCAATTTAATTCATTTGTTTTGTTTTCAAATAAATTCCATCTTTATCTTTGTTCTAGTGTCTAGTGTCTTGTGAATAGAGATGAGAATGGTTTGTCGTAATTCGTACCGCGAGAGTGGAATTTCGATCGACGATTCCAATGACAATGACATATAATAGTACATTATGACAAATGAATACAAAGCACAAAATTGAACAGTAAATTATATTCACGACAGACTCATGAATATTTCAACGTAGGCTGTAGCTTTATAGTTCGTTTATTGGTTGAATGCCTCCGTCTTCCAGTTCCATTAAGTTTGCTGTCAGCAAATAACCGAGAGGCAGTCAGTAAGCAACTATGATTGTCAGAGTCATTAATTCCTGGCACCTGCACCGAGGCCGGGAGGCATTTCCCCCGGTTAATTTTCGATTTTGAGATATTATATCTGCATCATCTGCCCCTTTTGGAGTGTCAGGCATAAATTATTAAATATCACGCAATATTTTGAAAATGGATCATGTTTCACGTGACGTAGTAGACACTAAAGAATTTTAAAAGCTGGTGGTCTTTCACTAGATTCAGGATCTAAAGATCTATGTATCATAACATCAGCATAGTATAGTATATAATATACATGCTATAGTTTTAAATAGAGATTTCTTTAAGAGCTATCTTTCAACTCACAAAGCCTTTAGGTACTTAAATAATGTTCGGGTAGTACCTCTATAGTTCATTTAGCGGTTGAATGCCTCTGTCTTTTAGTTCCATTAAGTTTGCTGTCAGCTTGTCAGCAAATAACCGAGAGGCAGTCAGTATGCAACTGTGATTGTCAGCGTTATGAATTCCTGGCACCGGGGCAGGTATTTTATCCCGGAAATTTTTTTAATTTTGACCAGGAAGTTTTTGCAT